TACACCTTCCCACGGTTCCCGAACGACACCGCTTGAGTATTTCCAGGCAAATGCCACGCCGCGACATCGCGACTGAGATCTTGCGTGAGACCGGAGAGTCGTCGGCTCAGCCAGTCAACCACTCGGCGGTTGATGTCGACGCTACTCCGCGGGTGGCGGTACACCCCTATATTCCTGCTCAACATGAGAACGAGAAGGGAGAAGCAAGCGCCTCGCGCCAGCTCCCTTCCAAGGCACTCCCATTCTCCGATACCAAGCCGACATCCAGCATCGTTGACCAAGCGCTGGTGGAACGACTGGCCGGAGAAATTGCTCGTCGCATGCGGGAGGAGAAATTGACTCCCGGCAATTCTTGCAGTTCGTTCTGGGATCGTCTCAGCCATGATGATGCCCCTCCGGCGTACGGTCAGTGACTAGTGCAGCCTTGTGGGCGTCTTTGTAGTCTTTTATCTTCACCTATTCTTTTCTCCATGGCTAGGATGCTCATACCCGTGCAATCCTCCCAGCTCCAGCGAGTCTGGAGCATTTCATGACCGATACGACACTGCATTTAATCTTGACTGTGCTTTACTGTGTTTTAATTGTTTCCAAGCGGGCTTTAGAACTTTGTACATTGATTGAACTGTACTCATAAAAGAATCTGGCGTGTTTATTGTTTTTTGACCTGCGTGAGCGATCTGTTTCTGAGGGATACCACTTCGCTCGCTGACTCTCTTTGACTGTGATTTTCTACTCTACTCTCCTTTGTCCACTCTTTCTCTTTACTGATATTTTTCTGCTTGATTTGGGATTTTTGGAAGCTGGAAGCACGCAACCGATGGAGGAGTCAAAAGAATGACTGGCAAATCTGGGTTTAGTTTTGCCTTGCCGAATTGCCGTAGAGTTTCGAGCAATGCTACTGTATATTTTTCTGATGCAATTGCGATAGCACGTATTCTCGCTTTGAAGCAAAATCACGATCGTAATAAGGAATAGTCATAATCCTCCGAAATCCTCACGATCTAAGCGTTCTCCTTATCTTTTGGGGGTTTGACGCCAGAGCGGTCGGCTCCACCGTGGCTCCGATCGGTTTGCGACGAACGTCAACCATTTAACTCAACCTGACGCCCGTTCGCTTCCCTCTTCTTCTCTTCCTTCCTCCGCCACGTCGCCAGTTTCCCTGCCCGTCCGTTCCCCAGTCCGTCCAATTCCCCATTCCTCATCATGGCGGGCCTGTTCAAGAACGTCTTTGGCGGTTCCCAGCCCTCGAACCCAGCCAAGGTTGACGATGGTGAGTCTCACAACACGCACACCCCAAACCCCAGCTTTTGCCTCGAGCTCTGTACCCCAGGAAAATCAACCCTTCCCCAAACTTCCTTCAATTGCTCTCCCAGCTCTAGTTCAACGCAACAAACAATTCTCTAATTACTTTTTCCAATGCAGACTTCGCCGACTTCGTCGAAGCCCCGGAGCCCTCCCCGGCCTCCCTCGTCGCCGGGTCCTCATCCATCCCAGCCGTGAACACCCAAGGCGTCACCCCAGTCCCCTACACCAAATGGTACCGGGTATGGGAGCGGACCTCTCCGCGAGACTTCATGCAAGAAGCGACTGTGATGCCCATCATCCTCCTAATCATCCTCTTCCACTTCTGGGGCACGCGCAAGAACCGCCGCAAGGCGCGCGACTGGGCGCAAGCTCACACCTCCGCTATGCAAAGCGAGTTCGCCGTTGTGGGTTTCGACGGCCCCAGCATCAGCAATAGCGAAGGACAACCCGACCCCGAGTCTCTCCTCAAGGAACGCTCCGCTCAAGAATTCGCCTCCTACGCGACCGGTCGTCAGAACGTGGCGTTCGTGGACGTGGCCATTAAGCTCCCCAAGCGGTACAACCCTGTCACTTTCTGGACGGAGACTGTCCTGGGCTTCTTGTTTGAGAGCTGGTCCCCCCCGACGGAAACCTACGAGGCTACCGCGTACACCTTCGATGGAAAGGAGAAGGATGTTGTCCCCCTCCCGGCCAATGATCGCTCTTCCCTGAAGGTTAACAACTCAACCTACGATGGATTTATCTGGGCTGTCGTGCACAAGAACTACATGCGGAAGTTCCGTCAGGACCGCTACGACGCCAGCATCACTTTCACCAGGGATAACAACAAGTTGCCTAACTGGGTTACGGTCATGACGGAGAGTGCGGAGATCACGGATGCTTTGCTCACGAATGAGCTGGCCCAGGCTATTGAGAAGGCCGGCAATGACTTCAAGTACTTGATTGTTACTGATCAGCCCGTCGATAAGCCCATGAAGTGAGTTTCCCATTCCCCTTCCCCCCAAAAAACAATACCACCTATCCCCCAAACCGAGCACACGTGCTAATCAATACCCATCTATGTAGAATCGAGGAAACCACCCCCCGCAAGCGCATCGAACTGTCCGTCACTCTCCCCAGCAGCGCCGAAGGCTACAGCACCACCCTGCCCCTCTTCACGCAGTTCCTCCGCTTCGCCGACCGTCTCGTCGGCTCCGCCCACTTCCGCCCCGAAGTGATGCGCAAGGTGCGCAGCACTCGCGACGAGGAGATCAAGAAGCTGCGTCGTGCGGATGAGGAGGAGAAGGCTGAGGAGCGCCGACTCGCCGCCGAGAAGGTCAAGAAGGAGGACAGGGAACGTCTCCTTCGTGGTATGTCTGCGGACGAGCAGAAGAAGTACCTGGAGCGTGAGCAGCAGAAGGAGCACCGTCGGATGATGAAGAAGAGTACGCGCAGGGGGTGATTTCTTGTTCTGTTCTGTTCTGTTCTGTTCTGTTCTGTTCTCTTCTCTTATTGAACGAACTGTGGAGGGGAATGTGGGACATCGGTTATCCATTCCCCCTGGTGACTTTTGTGGTGTGGTGATGCTGTTCGTTCGTTGTATATCTTCATGTACAATGTATTCGTAATTCTTTTTCTTATTTGGATGATGATCTGGGATGATGGGGCTGGATTTGGTTGGAGCGATGCCGTGGGGTCAGTCGGGTTCTTGACTGATTGCAGTGGTTTAATTGATCTACTAATGTATCTTGATGGCATGAAGGCCTTGTTGTTCTGAGTATTTGAATTTCCTTCGTATGGCCGATCTAGTGGTTACCATTCAAGTCTATGATGCTCGGAGCCTCGTGGCTATATACCTGTGATTTATTGGGCAAGCAATATGTAGATCGAAATGGTGCTGCTAAGCAGATCAGTGAATAACGCCCTATGAAACCTCGTCTTCCCCGACGGCAGTAAAGTATGACGCCCGATCTATAACAGCAACCCCAGACACCAATGATATCTCATCAATATATACCCAAAATCAAGCCTCAGCAACCAAAAAGCTCATCAAGCTTCCCGCAGTCAACCCGCCTACGAGCATCAATGCCATGAACCCACCTGCAGGTTCACGTTCATCAGGAGACACCCACTGTCCAGCACCCATCATGCAATTACTCCCCAAGTACCCGTTACTTATGCCGAACAGCAATTGCACGACGAAGAGGTAAAAGAAGTCGCTTTCGACGACTGCGCCCCGGCCGCGAATGTTGCAGAGGAGGTACAGTGGGATGAATGCGGCACGAGCAATCGAGAAGAGGAACAGCACAAAGGGACGGTTCACTAAGGACAGACGGGGAAATAGGACGAGCATTCGGCCCAGCAGATCACCTGCGTTCCAGAAGAAGAATGCAAGAGGGATGAAGACAGCCTGGTCGAAGAGTCGTGATCGCCCGGGGGTGTCGTGGACGGATTCGATCTCCGCTGTGAAGACGGGGAAGGTCATGGTGACGGTGAAGCAAAGGAAGATGGCTGTGGCCATGAAGCGGAGCTTCTTGAAGAGCGTCCAGAGGCTGACGGACTTGTTCTCGGGCACATCTGAGTCGCTGTGATCGTCCGTTGGGTCTAAGAGGGTTGACGATGAGCGTCGCTTTACGAGGGATAGGAAGGCAAGCAGAGCGAAGGACGACACGGTTGTGGCCGTGATGAAGTAGGCAAAAGCGGATTTGGATGACTCTTGTGGTGCTTTCTGTCCTTCCTTCTTGCTTGGTACGGAGATCACGGTGAGGATCTGGACAATGCAGGGTAGGACACCCGCTACGCCTTGGCCGCCCATGATGGCTTGGGTATACTCCTCTCTTCCGAAGCCGGAGACGTAAGCGTACACGCCATTTTGATTTATCCCGGTCGCAAGACTGGCCCCGAATACCATGATCATGAGAAAGCCGAAGTATGTGCTCACTGAGACATCTTTCATCAAGATGGTGGAGAAGGCCAAGAGCGTGAATACCACGATGTTGATAAGCAGGGAGATAGTGACCCGCTTCGGATATGATGCTCCCTTCTGCAGCTTGGCTAGGATGAACGAGGAACCTAAGTTAGTAACGGTGGATACAGTCAGTATTGAAGGCTGGTAATGAGTTGCTGCCCAGTCGTCTGTGTGGAAACGGTGGTAGAAGTATGGTGCAGCAGCGAGGAACATGTTCCTATGACATTCCGGTCTAGTTAGATAGATGCAGTCAATGTAGTTGCTGTAGGTTGGGACATACCATGCCCATAGCATAGACACTCCCAGAAGAAAGAATACTGCATATTCGTATTTGGAGAAACGGGGATGCTCAAGCTCCTCACGAGCAGAGTGAATGCTCTCATTATCGGTGTCAACCGGTTGCTCGATTGCTTCATACGTAGGCCGGCGAGCGATCAGCCCGCGGATACGCTCCATTGTAGCGAGTTGTGGGTTGCCCCTGTTCAAACGATGAGAGGTGACAGGGAGTAGTACGAGACTCAGCCCATGATGGTGGAGGAAAGTGAGGCAGGGAAGATCGACGGGGAGGACAAGAAGATGAGCAGCAGCTGGTCATGAGGCGTGACACTCGCCAAGAATGGTAATCCGCGGGTCACGTTGGGCTGGGTGACTAAGAGGCTTATCAATTCAACAACCATCAACTACTAAGTAGTAACTTCAATTGCTCAACAGCTCGAATAGCATGTCAGCAATTACACAGAGAGCATAATTCAAAAGTAGAGATGGGTATTATATTTTATCTATCCAGTCACCAAAAGCTGAGCCACCCCGGTGTTGGGGTATCCCGTAGATAGATAGTACATCCAGCTGAAGGCGGCCCAGCTGTCTAGACAGTAGTGTACTATGTGCCCCATACAGGAGCTATATACTCTACACTGCTGAAAACAAGATAACGAAGAAAAGAAAGAAAATAACAAATGGGTGTCCAGAAAGGTAGGCGCCTCCACATCTATGAAGTAGCGGACGCTCCTACTTCTTCTGCTGATCGCGTTCGCTGCTGGCATCTTCGATGTCAGCTTCAGCTTCCTCTTTCTCCAACTGCCACAATTTCTCTTCTGTCGCTGGGCTGATAGGGGCGTTTGCTGGCGTGTTCTCGCCACCACTGATTTGCCATTCCATCAGCTTTGTGAAGGCGCCGTCAGGACGAGAGCTAAGCTCCTCGTAAGTTCCCTGTTCGGCCACCTTTCCATCAGGGGCAAGCACGATGATTGTATCAGAGCGCTTGATCGTAGACAGTCTGTGGGCGATGCTGATGGTCGTGTTGTTTCCACGAAGAAGGGCAGCAAGAGCGCTGTTGACCAATGTCTCAGATTCTGCATCAAGAGCAGAGGTTGCCTCATCCAGAATCAAGATATCGGGATCTTTGATGAGAGCACGAGCAATGGCAATGCGCTGCTTTTGCCCACCAGAAAGTTGAGCGCCGCGAGGTCCAACCTGAGTATCAAGTCCATCGGGCTGAAAGAAGTTAGACAAATGTATAGTCAGAAAGCAAATTGTCCACTCACAAAATCGCTGATGAACTGGCAGTTCGCCTTTCTGGCTGCTGCGATGATCTCTGACCTAGTAGCCCGTGGCTTGCCATAAGAAATGTTCTCAGCAATTGATCCCGAGAACAGGACAGGTTCCTGAGCAACAACACCAATCTTCCTTCGAAGGGACTTGGCGTTCATCTCGCTGATGTCTTGGCCGTTAATCAGGACCCGTCCTTCGGTTGGGTTGTAGAACCTCAGTAGAAGTGAAGCAATAGTTGACTTTCCTCCACCCGAGGGACCGACGATGGCAACGTTCTTTCCTTGCGGGATCTCAAAGTTCAATTCCTTGAATATAGGAACGGCAGGTCGCGTGGGATAGCTGAAGTTCACGTTTTCAAAACGAATAGGACCACGGGCCGATTCAACTTTCTTGCCCTTCGTCGGGGATATCGTTGGCTCACGATCCTGCAATTCGAAGAGACGACTAGCAGCTCCAACACCCTTCATCAGCTCGGAGTAGAAGCTAGACAGACCGAACATGCTGGAACCGGCATAAGCAGTATACATCAAAAAGGATGTCAACTCTCCAATAGTGATGCCACCTGACTGAACCATGCCGCCTCCAACGTAAAGCAATGCTAGGATTGTCATGTTGCCCATGAAGCCAGTCTGATTGTGCTGTCAGCTAAGTGGTAATAAGTGATAAGCGCACAAATACAGGGGAACATACGGAACTGAAGAAGGTAGCGCTAATCAAAGATTCCCTCTTGCCAAGCTCGAAGATCTTGCGCACTTGGTTATTGTACCGGTTCACTTCGAGGATCTCACCAGCAAAAGACTGGCTAGTCTTCACATTACCAAGACGCTCTTCCGCAATCTTGGTCAAAGTACCGAGGTTTCTCTGGATCTTGCGACTGAGGTTCCTTATCGCCCTACCATAGAAGAAGGCGCCGAGACCAATCGGAGGCAATAGGACAAGCAAGACACTGGACAGCTTGAGACTGACATAGGTCATCAGACCAAAGCCTGCTGCACCACTAACCGCTGCTCGTAAGCCGTCCGACAAGTTCTGCGTGATACTTTTACCCACGATAATGGTGTCAGAGCCGAGTCGTGAGATCAAGTCGCCCACTCTGTTCGCATCGAAGAATTCCGCATCTTGCACAAAAGTATTACGGAAAAGCTTAGAGCGAAGCCTTGAGACAATGCGCTCTCCAACGATACGGAGGATGACAATGCGGCCATAGTTCGCAGCGGCACCCAGTGTAAGGATACCAGCCAAAGCTCCATAGAACATCGGTACACTCAAGCCGAAAAGCAGATTTCCACCGCCCTCTTCGTCAGAGGTCTTTGTAGCTGCATCCATGATTTTGCCGATGGAGAAGGGAACAGACATGGTGATCGATGACGAAATAAGCAGGAAAAAGAAAGCAAACCCGAGCTTTCTAGCTTCGGGTCGGGCAATGAGCAGGAGTCTCCATATTTCTTTGAAGCCGGCTTTCTTGTTACCAGATCCGTCTTTCGACAGCTTAGCAGCAAGGTTTACCTGCGCAGCCTGCGCTCCCTTTTCGGAGAGCTCGAAGCCCTTGTCTATGTCTTCATCTTCCTTGTCCTGAGCCGTGGCGTTGTTCGTTTGAGCAGATTTAGCCGTTGAGTTCACTGGCTTAGATTCCAATGACCGTTGCGAAGAGGAGAAGAACCGAGATTGCGCTATTAATTGCGACCGTATGATATCGAACCGTGAACCGTTACTTTGACGGGTGGATAGTCCAGACGTTAGCGAGAGGTTGTTGCGTAATGAACCCGAGATGCCCGAGAATTGACGGCTAGGGACGCCAAAGATGCCAATTCCAGATTGATGTGGACGAGCTCCAAAGTAAAGCTCATTGAGTATGCTCCCATTTACCTGAGCACCCCGTCTGGCGGTGACGCCGGGGGCCCAGGAAGCCAGCAACCTGGCTCCGCGCATTTCGGACGATAGAAAGCGGATTCGGATGGCTGCTCAAATGGATGCCAAACGGAGTAATCAGGGTGCCATATCCCACTAGACAGCCCGGTGTCTGCTAGATCTCATGACAAATCAAAGATTAATCGCTCTCCGGGAGACCGCTAGACGCTTGGAAGGCAGAACATGTCAGCCGTGAAGCCGCGAGTCCGGCCATCGCCGTTCGGCCTCGCATCGGCGACGGTTCTGCCTGTGGACACCGCCTGCCCTAATTCCGCCGCCGTCGAAGCTGGTCGAGAGCTTTCGATGATCCCTCAGACGCTGGGATAGGCTGCGCTCGTGCATTTCTGGGGTTTTAAGCTCTGAAGCTAACTTGGAGTCAAGGTCGCTGACCATATATTAACTGAAATTATATCCGTACAAACGACTCCACCTCATTTCCAGGCTCTATACATCTACTCGTTTACCCCACCCTCACCCCTCCTTATACCATCGACTACATTCCGCACTCGCCCAACATGGTGCTTGACTACAGCAAATGGGATGCACTGGAGCTATCTGATGACTCCGACATTGAAGTGCACCCGAATGTCGACAAGCGTTCTTTCATCCGGGCCAAACAAGCCCAGATCCATCAACAACGTGCCCAACGCCGCCATGAGATCGAGACGCTGAAGTACGAGCATATTGTCAACAACGGCCTCCTTTCACGAATCGATAAGCTTCTTACGGCCCTGAAGCAGAATGAAGGCTCCAAGTCCGTCGAGGAAGTGATCTTCCAGAACCTTATGGAGTTTGCAGGCAACCCATCGGACGACCATCCTCCCGCAGCCCCGGCAGGAGTTCATACTCAGGAGAAGGAACAGCCTAAGTACTCACAGATGATGAGCGCTCTGGTTGACCAGGTGAAGAAGGAAATGGGCGACGTCAGTTCGGAGAACCTCTATCAGGAATATATCAAGGGTGTTCAGAGGCACAACGATAAGGTGCAGGGCTTACAAAAGGAGCTTCTTCAGAGACTTGCCCAGCTTGAGAAGGAAGAAGGCAGCAAGATTACCAGTGAGGGATTGCACGAGGGGTTCAACACTTCTCACATTGCCAAGCCTGGCGAAGCCAAGGGCCAAAAGACGGAGACAGTTGAGCTTCTGAACCCTGGAGCTTCTACGGCGGGCTCATCCCAGCAAGCTGCTGCCCCAGTTGCTGACGATGATGACGAAGAGGAGGATCCCGAGAACGTCAAGGCCAGTGAACTTGCCAAAAGATTCGCGAAAATTAACCGCAACGATTACCGTGCCTTGCTTCAATTCATCTCCGAGAACCCCCAGATTGTTGCTGAGAAGGAAACGGATGGTCTATTGGTTGAAGCTTTCAACAGCCAAATGGAGGGCAAAGAAGACTACGCCCGCACCTGCGTTCACCAAGGCTTGTTGTTGCAGTACTGCCGCTCCCTGGGCCGCGACGGTATCTCGCTTTTCTTCAAGCGGTGCGTATGCGAACGATCGAATCCCTTGAGTCGCTTGCTGACAGGTATATTCGTATAGTATCACAAACGCAGACCACCAGGCTGGAACCCTCTTCCGGAACGACGTAAACGAAACTTACCATAAAATCAAGACCCGCGCCGCGGAGCTGGCGAAAGACAGCTCTGCTTCGAACGACCCCGCTGGAGTGGAACAGATCCAGCTGCATGCAGTTGACCCGAACACTAAGATCACCATCAACATACCCTCTGCTGAGGGCGATGACCCTGTTGAGGTTGAGGCGCGCAAGGTGTACGAATCGTTCTCCAAGGATCTACAGAAAGCCTTGGCGTCCGAGTCCTTGGATGAGGTCAACAAGGTCCTCGGTAAGATGAGCGTTGAAGAAGCTGAAGATGTCGTTGAGAAGCTAGGACAGAGTGGCATGCTGAGCCTGGAGGAAGGCATTGTTGATGCGACCACGGAGGAAGGAAGGAAGAAGCTGGAAGAAATTGAGGCAGAGAACAAGAGGGAAAGAGAGGAACAGGAAGTAGGTGAACCGGGAGGCGATATCACCGAGCTGGACTGAGGTATGAAAAATAATAATGCATATGTTTGAGATGGTGGAAATGTTTGTATTCGTCAACAGCGACTGTGTTAATGGTTGATTTGGATGAACTCAGATTGTTAATATAGCATCTAAGCCCCTACCTCCGAGTAGGAGGATTACAATGTGTGAATACATGCTCTAAGTAGGATGTACTTTTAGCGTATACCAAGTCTCTTGATGTTTTGCATAAGCGCCGTACTTTCAAAGTAGTAATGGACGTGGAAGACAATTAAAATGTTCCAAAGTATGTAATCTACCTACATCAAGGGGAAATAAGCAACATAAGAAGACATGTGTTTAAGAATTGAACAGAAGACACATGTACTGAGAAATAGCCATTATCTCGAGTACTTGACGAACTCCTGTATAAGAAAGTATGATCGGGTCGAGAATCTGAGGCGCACGGAGGTGGTATGAATGGTGACGGTCGTGATAATAAAAGGCGCTGGAATGCAGAGGACAAGGGTAATCTCCAGTGCTTCGACTCTTTCCCACTTTCTGAGATGTATCATTAGACCAAAGTCTTATTTTGTGGAATTCGGCCTTCTTCGCATCCAGAGTCCTTAAAGTTGGAACCCATTATAGTTTCAGCTGCTTAAACGCCGCTGACACCAGGGGCATTCTGATCCTTCTTAAGGTCAAGGAGCAACTCTCGGAAGCGCTCCTTGCCGGAGCCGCTGGCACCACCCTTGGTTCCCTTTCCGGAGACATCGACAAGCTTCGCGATGCGTTCCCAGCTAGTACCTCCCGAAGAAGTGTCCTCCCGGTTGGACAGGAACTGATCTGCCTCGGCGCGAGTCTGGGCACGAAGCTTGTCGGTCTTGTTGTTGTATGAGACATAAAAGTCGTCAATATCCTCGCGCGCCTTCTTTATGGTCGACTCCTTCTTCTCCTCCGAGATCTCCGCACGACGCTGAATGTCCGCATCTCGCCGCTCACGCCATTCCCTGCAAGACATCTACCATCAGCACATGGACTCCATACAAGTGACATAGCATAGCAAAAAGTTATGAAAGTCAGGCTGGCTGCTGATATGGGTGACACATACCTGACGGGCTCTGGCTCCTCCTCCGGGGCTTGAGAGGTATAGTTGGAATACCCGGTGGGTGGAAAGGGGGCACCCGACCCAGTGATTGTGCCGCCAGGAGCAACTTGCTGGTAAATTCGCAGTCACGTTAGAGACTCCCCCAAGCATATACCAGACATGTCTCATACCTCGTTTTGTGTGTCGAGAGCAGGGAAGGAAGACTCGAATCCAGAGATCTCCTGAGGCTCAACACCACCCGCGGACGGGGCGGCATCCGCACCTTCCAGCAAGTCGTCGTCATTGTTTATGTCGTCGGCGACATGATCTTGGGGAGTCGCAAACTGTTCTGCATCATCACCGAGCATAGCCCGTTCGCGAGCTAGGAAGTCATTTTCATCTGAGGCACCGTTGGTCTCAACGACTTCGGTCTGGCCTAGAGACCGGGGTTAGTGTTATGTAGTGTTGGCGGGCATGATGCCGGCTGCTCACCTGCAGAGAAGTCCTCCAATGAAGGGAAACGATCCGCCATACTTTGCAATTATCTTAAGCTGAGTTATAGATTGATTTCGCAAAGAAGTTGAATTAAGAGAAAGGGGTCAAATGAGGAGAGATGAGAATGTGAACGTAAGGCTCCAGCTGGCGTCTTGGGGATCGAGCGGACCGTTCCAAGTATGAATGGAGAACCCCCCGGATTCTGCCAGGAAGGCGGTCTGACAGCTACACAGCAATTACCAGGTGCGACGGATGAGCTTCACTGTTCCTCAGGACCATTTCACTCTTTCACGTCAGATATCCAGGGCAGTGGTCATATCAATCTGACTCGAGCTGAAGTGAATTTCTTTTCTATTGCGCATTCTTGGTACATTGTGCCCGTTGTCATTCGCTCCAGCATTCGCGCTTAAGGAATTGCGATCCGAGTCTAAGCTCGCGGCGATCAAAACACACTGCATTCACACATCTTTCATTACTCTTTCTACCAGAGATCTCTTCTACCTTGGCAATATTAGCAAGTATTCAGAATGGCCTATACGGATGATGCTGTGAAAGCGAAGCTTTCAGCCCTCAACGAAACCCAGGAAGGCATTGTCACAGTTGCGCAATGGGTCATGTTTCACAGGTAAGTTGACAACTGTTCGTATATACAAAGACTTTGCTCATATGTTATTTCAATCTTAGGCGACACGCCGAACGAACCGCACAGCTCTGGCTGCAGAAACTCCGCGATTCTCCAGCACCGAAGCGCCTGAACCTGATATATTTGGCCAATGGTATAGCTCATGTTCCGAGTCGGTTGTAGTTCGACACTAACAGCATCTCAGAGGTCGCGCAACAGTCTAGAGCTCGAAGGAAGGAGGACTTCCTCATCGCATTCTCGCCGGTGGGTTTATCATCATTGGGCCCTGGCAGGTATCAGAGGTTAACATTTACCAGATCATCGCAGAGGCCACGGCTATCGCATACAAAGGTTCCTCAAACGATATTCAGCAAAAGATTCGCCGCGTGGTTGAAGTATGGAGACAAAGATCGATCTTTGAACTTCCCATTCAGGAGGCCGTAGAAGCTCGAGTAGATGGTAGGTCGTCTTGCGCTGTTCTCTTCATTCATCCTGCTTACTCCGTCGTAGAGATCGATAAGTCCCGCTCTACCGGTAAAAAGCCGTTGCTAGGAGGGTCCCTCTTCTCGAGCTCGTCGGGCTCAACACCGTCTGAACTTCAGCCTCTAGTGCCTCTACAGGTAGCTGTTTCAAAGGCTACCGTGGCTTCAGCTGCATCTGCCACAGCTGCAAATGCAGAGTATGACAAGATGCATGACCCCAACACGCCTTTGCCTACCCCTCCAGTGCATGCGGCGCGGCTTAGCCAGCTGTTGAAAGCCCTTGCGAATGCAGAAAGCTCTGTATCCGAGGTCATCAAATCACGCACCGCTCTCATCGAGGGTCTCGAGAAGCTTCTCGCAACCAATCGCTCAGCTTTATCCAAGGAACAATCAATGGTCGCACAGTTGACGGGAAGGAAATCGGAGACGGAAGCCACCAAAAGAGAGGTTGAAGATGGGATCATGCGCGGGCTCTCTGCCGAGAATTCGCCTGCGATCAACCATGGCGATGCTGGGCCAGAGGGAGAGCCTATTTCTCGTCCAGAAGTTGAGGCCCTGACTCCTCCACCAGTTGAGGCCATTACACCTGTTGGTTCTCCCAAGCAGGCCGCACAGGACTCAGACTTCAGCGCAGTACCTCCTCAACCCCAGATACTGGGTGGATTCACCCTGCCTGGGTTCGGAAATCCGGCCGATTCTTCACTTTCGGCGGCGGGCTTCCCTCCCGCGGGACTCGGCGAGCACCAAACAGACGGTTCGAACGGGCTCCATGCCAAGAGACGCAAGGTTACGCATGAAGAGGAGGATTACGCTCAATTCGCAGGCGGCGACTTGGATGCTGATGTAGCTGAGCTCTTGAAGCAGGAAGGTGATGCCCAGCAATAGGCCTTTTAGATTCACACACTCTGCGGTCGGTGGCAGGCGCAAGCTTGCTTATCTCGACAGACTCCATTTTTACTTTCAACATTATTTATTCTGTCGTCTTATGTGCTGTTTACTGAGAATGTAGTTATCTATTTTCTGTTGCGAGGCACGCCCATTCTTGCCTATTATGATAATATCTGGATATCCACTGTTTATGCGATTAGCAATACGTCCGAGATTCATGCCCGCAGGACGAATTAATTTCTCTCGAAAGAAATCAATACGGCGCTGGAATACATTTGAATTAGTTTCATTACTATTATCATGGAACGCTGAATTGCGAACTATCGAAATATATCCGGATCACCCCATTTGTTTCTCGCAATCCGTAACGAAGAGGGACTCCTTCTGCGGCGGTATATGGTATGGAAAGCACGAGGAGTCATTGCGGGCGGCTGTTCATTAGTTTGCGGGGGAGGTGGCGGCGCCGGTGCCGGAGCGGGATCTGGGGAACTGTGTTTCTTCGGCTTGACTAGTAGAACGATAAACAGGCCTGCGACTATGATCACCAGCAGGAGCATGATCTTGCGTTTCACTGTACGTCGCTGGTAGTTTGTAGCCTGCAAGATGCAGATTGGTTAGTAGGAACTTTTTGCTCGGGTGGCTGCATCAGACGCGAACGTACCACTTTCAGCTCTTTATCCGCGGCCTTGACCTCCGTGCCCATCCGCTCGATATTATAGTCAATCCGATCCAGCATGGTACCCTGATCGATAACCATAGACTGCAGCTCCCGGAAAATATCCGACAGCTCAATGATTCCTTTCGCGATGTCGTTTATTTCCCGTTCCCGCTGTTCAATGGCGGCATCGTTCTGGCCCGTCAGTCGTTGCGACGTCTGCATCAGCGTGGATTGCGAGAACGACTTGTCCGCATCGGATTCCATTAGCGACGGGTCTGTATATGGGTTCTGCATCGGTGTCGGGGAACGTTCAAACGGCGCTGATCCACCCTCCAGTCCTCGTAACTCTACCACACAACTGCGGTTAGCTTGACAAACAGACGTAGCGCAGCCCAGAATAAACTCACTCTTCAGATATGTACTCTGTTTCTTCCGGAACCGAGCACTAGCCTCTTGCACCCTAGCAGCAAGAGATATCTGCAGGTTTTTGGCCATGGTTTCATCGCCGCTGCTAACTCCACCCTGTTGTTGAGCTTCCCGTACCATCGTCTCGATCTTCTTAACTGCTTTCTGGCATTCATGAAAGGAGCGCGTGATATCCTGTGTGAGCCGCTCTATAACTAATTCATCTTGCTTTCGTACATCCTCGTCTCCGAATCCGGGTAGAAGGTGTTTTTGATGTAGCTTATCGAGGTGAGAGGACTTCTGCGCAATGTCCGCAAGTAGCTCCGTCACTTCCTCCTGTACGTCAACCCAGCGCGGGGGTAAAACGTCCATCTCGATAATTGCGTCGCCATCGTCGTCAAGACCGCCGGTTTCTGAAATGAGTCGACGGCTTTCTTCAGGCTGCGACAGGCTATCGGAGAAGCCATTGGAAGCTCCGAGATAACGTGGCTTCTTGGCTGGATGATGCGCGAACGACTGGCGGTAGGATATGTAGCTGTATCGAGGATGGGCGTTAGTTCATGATCTTCGCCATTCTGGATAATAAATCCCGGGACGCAATTACAGATTGGTCCGGTCCCGCCACATTGTGAATGCTAGGAAGACAGGGTCGTTGGTCTGCGGTGATCCTTCGTCGGGGACACTCTTAGGCCACCCTGATCATTGTCCGGCCAGGGATGCCGTTAGAATGGATAGCGAAATTCAAGTCACAATAAACTCAGAGTAGAATATCTGGACATATGAAATGGCAGTGAGGGGTATAGGCCGTTTTTCCGCGTCGTAGAATAGAGCGTCGTAGGGTGTATTCGATAGGACCGCTGTACTTCCCGGAGCTCCCCATCTCCATGTTGCACATGAAGGGACGGCCGCACCAATCCCAATGTGGTAGCACCCGTGCCGATCTAAGTATATTACGTCAGCCACGATGCTCTGAGATGATGCCTGATTAATTATGCGAGATTATGCATCTCAATTGGATTGGTCAAGTTCGGAAGATGATGTCCTGGATGAGGATAAGAGGTCCGTCGTGGGCCAGAGATGAATGTGGTATTGCTGTCTATTGTGTTCCATGGATTACACACTATAGATTACATGCCGCACCGTCATTGCCTGTCACAAGAGAACTATCTTGTGTAGATGCTACTTGGCTACTAGAGCATTATGAGACAAGAGTGACGCTCCCTATTTCTATATTTGAAGCAATACTTCGTGATAACCGATCGTTTTGGTCACCCAGCTGATGCAGTCTACACACACATATAGTGAGATACTATCAAGAGGCATTACCTAGGGATCAAGTTCGGATAATAAGATGTTGATAGGAGCACGTAGCAGCCGTGTCGGATGCTCTGAATGCGACGAGATATGGAGTGCTAGTAAGGAGTAGACGCATCAATGATCGAATAGCTGCAATAGGGCTATCTCACGTGCAGGTTTGTTCTGGTTTGTTTTGGATGTATCAAGCAGTTTTGGGAGGTCAAATAGGAAAAATTGAGATCGAAAGTTAATTTGGTTGCAGGCTCTAGCCTGAATATTGCAGATTTTGAGCAATTATGTTGGCTTGTCAGTCCACTTTGCATGGTTACAGAGTATGCCAAGCCCAGATAACTTGCGCAGTTATTCCGTACTTATGCCGCCTAAAGAAACAAGCCATGGTTCTGATTGCGAAGGTTCTAATCAAGGGCATAAGAGTCGCAGGGGATGGAGAAGAGTTATCCTCTGCTTTCTGGTTTGCATGACTGAACCCTCAGGTACAGAAGTGTCCCATATCAAGGTTCCAGGGTATAGTGTCTGAACAAGGTTCGTCCTGGTGAAAGGCAGGCGGGACTTGTTGCCTTCGAGCTTTGGTACTGCCGGGGTCCACGGCTGGCCGTCACCAACTGGCCAAAAGGCGCCTACTTACAGATTAGATGCAAGGCTGCGCTCGACTAGCAGCCATTCAAACGACTATGTCTAGGCAACGGGCATTTCCATAAGGCAGATATGACGGGACGCAGCGAGCCTGCAGCAGCTGAAGAAAAAGCAACCAACCAACCAATGCATGGAGGGGGAGCGTGCAAAAGGAGGCGAATTGACAGACGGGCGGGCAGGCAGGACAGAACAGCGTTTCCAGGCGCAGAGGGCACATGGTGGCCAGGGCGGGTCACGTTTCAGGCATAAGCGACCGCCTTGCCAGGCGTCCAGCTCAATGGTCATTTATTATTATGATGGATTCGGGTTCCCCTTAAATCATCTTCCACCAACACCACCACCACCTTCTCCTCCCCCCACAGCCCTTTACCGCTACCGTTCAAGCCACCAGCTTTCTTGTTCCCTTTCTACTCAGCTTCATTACCCTCCCGTGACTTATCACACCCCATATCAACCATGGTATGTACCTCCTTCCTCGCTGTCCCGGCCAGTTGCGTTGAAAATCCCCCACTTTGCGGGGCAGATCTGCCTGGCATTCTCGACAGGATTGCTGACATCGCATCGTCTAGGCCGACTCTCTGACCGAAGAGCAAGTTTCTGAGTACAAGGAGGCCTTCTCCCTCTTTGTGAGTGCTCCCTGAATGAACCCCCGATCACTCAAATTGATGACCTATCTTTACCGGCTCATAATGCTAATGTATTTTCGAACTCAATAGGACAAGGATGGCGATGGTGGGTGGAATTCTGTCCCCTTCACGTTCTAACTGTAGCGCCCGATCCGACCGCGGGATTTCGACAGCTATTTCCCCCTTCGATCTGAATCATAATACTGATGTAATCTGGAAATAGGCCAGATCACCACCAAGGAGCTCGGCACTGTGATGCGCTCCCTCGGCCAGAACCCCTCCGAGTCTGAGCTTCAGGACATGATCAACGAGGTTGACGCTGACAACAACGGAACGATCGACTTCCCCGGTATGTGATAGATCTACGCATGTAAGGCGGGAATGCCGTATGGGTTGTGATTGACTTTTGCCGCCAGAATTCCTTACCATGATGGCTCGTAAGATGAAGGACACCGACTCCGAGGAGGAAATCCGCGAGGCTTTCAAGGTCTTCGACCGCGACAACAATGGTTTCATCTCCGCCGCGGAGTTGCGCCACGTCATGACCTCCATTGGCGAGAAGCTCACTGACGACGAAGTCGATGAGATGATCCGTGAGGCTGACCAGGACGGTGATGGCCGCATCGACTGTATGTTTCCCATTCTTGATATGCCCGTGATATGACATGCTAACTCTGCTACCAGACAACGAGTTCGTCCAGCTCATGATGCAAAAATAAACGGCTCTTCATGTTCTATTTGTCTTGTGTTAGCGGAAAGGGTGGGGAACAATGAAATCTACTCCACAATGTCCCATCTTTTATCCCATCCCGTCTCTTGTAGTCTCATCATTTGGCTATGACTCTTTATTCATCTTGATGATCGAGCGCTTCGCATTATCACTGTTGGTTCTAATGTTGCAGGAATGGTAGAGGCGACCATAGGTCTAGACTGGTCTGAGCGAGCTGAGATTGAATATGTCAGACAGGGAGGGCTCTGTCTTTTGCTGGGAGTTCCTGCGTGATGTGGCCCGCAAGGGCTATTTGTTCCTCTTCATACCCGCTTACCCCTTTCACCATTGTCCATAGTCCCGTGTCATGATTCGTTCCTTTGCCCGTCTGATATCTGGCAGTGGCTCGATTGCATCGGATAATAACCATTTTGATATTCTAAGACCCGTTTTGATGTAGACATGAGATTATGTATTTGTGCTGCACTTCGTCAAAGTCCCACACACTGCCTCCGGTTCTCAACAAAGAACACCGAATGTGGAGGCCTTATTTCGGATAACTCAGCTTCTAGCGCTCTTTGACGGCTACCCCTGCACATCGCGTACATTCCTTGTGCCACATGCCACCCGGAACTCAATATACGAGATATCTCCCTTCAATCTACGATCTGCCAGCATGATGATCATACGTTTTCTTAAATAAGCAATCCCCCAAGACAATTCAGATTAGATTCACCTCAACATCGAGGCCTGGTATTTTTACCGATTGAACCTAAAGATCTCCATAAACTGCCTCGCCACATCCACACCCGCATCCGGATCCGGATCCTCATCCGCTTGCTGTAGGTTTGCCTCGTCAGAAACAGTATGTCTGCCCTTCTGTTTCAACCTCCTCAACCGATCCTTAGCTTCCTTACCCACATCCGGCAATAAGATAGCTTCTCTGGCCCCCTCAATGCCCAGCCTCGCCCAGAATTCCCGGATCAACGCCGCACTGGCCGCATACTCGGCATCAATATCCGCATCTTCAATAGCATCCGGGAACGCCATATCAATCCCGGAGTCGTCATCATCAGCTAATTGCCCGTCGCTCGGATTCCGTGGTGCTGATATCGAATCGACTATACAGGGACCCCGCCATTCGATTTCGACAACTGTTCCGCGCACCCTCGCTGCTGGTTGAGTCTGTCGCACATCACCCACTCGAACCCGGAAGTCACCCACATCGTAGACCACGCCGCCTGGTACGGTGACCGTGTGTCGATGGCACCAGAAAGGCTGGCAGGCGTAGCCGAAGTGCTGGAAAAGAGCATTACAGGATGGAAGCGGCACGGTGGTCATGACCATTGGTCCTCCTGACGGTGCAACGGCATTAGATGGGGTGGAAGGGGTGGGCGCTGTTGCGCCTGGCGCTCCATTTTGAGAAGTATTGGTGGGTGAGCCAGCTGGTGTGGAATTAACACCGGTAGCTGTGTGGTGGGTGGTTTTTTCTAGTGCTTCAGAGGTGTAGATGAAGCCGTGATTGGAGTGAAAAGACAGTGATAGGAATTGCATATAGCGCGGTTGCACTTGGCGCTGAGATGCTGAGGCTGGAACACATGATGGCGTATCGCGCATTAGCCTGTGTTCGAGGAACCAACGGCCTACTAATGTTGGTTCGTCTGCTAGGGCTGTGTGTAGGCGCTCTGTGATTGTGGCTAGCCCTGTGGATGCATTTGGATTGGAGGGGATGAAGTAGACTCTGGATGGTTGGAGTTAACATGATATGAGGATAAGTGATAATTGGTGAGAGCTTACCCTGTGATAGGCATTGTGTAGTATTTGAAATTCCCTTGATAGATGTTGTATCTCTATGGATGGTTTTCTCTTGTCCTTGAGTAGGGCGCCTACGAAGGGATTCACGTGCCAAGTTAAGGACACAAGAGGGGTATCTTCTTGAAAGCAAGGAAAGAGAGAAGTGCAGTAGATATGTGTAAGAGTCAATGACAATAGTATGGGTTCAATTGATAGCGAGTCTGGTAGTAAGCAGGCAGCACAGGTAATTCATTTGGAGCGCGATTCGTTTATGTCTGATTATATGTTAGTATATTAAGCATTGGATGGGTCCGTGCTATTGGTGGAGGTTATCTAGACATACCAAGAAGAATGCAATAGCAGTTTATGTTGCTTTGAGTATATCACCCACAGCTCTAGTAGGACTGATTGGACTGTCCGTGGCTTTTTCGGGCATGTGACCCGTCATGACTTGGAAACAGTGTTGACTGCCTTGGGGTCCAGGCCACAAAGGTGCAAACCGGTCAAACACCGCCCCCAAGCAACAACTTCGACCCAACTGGCATTAACTCTCACTCCGACCTCCGACTCTCATTTCCTCCATTGTCTGTGGCTGTTAACTGGCCCACCTCCACTTCGAGTACCAACAGTAATCAATTCCTGGGCCGTCTGGGTCCTCGGGGCTCCACTCTCACATTTTATCCCCGACTCTGTCTCTGATTGAGCCACAGCGACGTCTGAGATCCGTCTAGACTTTGGTCTGGAATATCCAGGGGAACACACTTCCACTTTCTGTTCTCTACACAGTACGCGCGTATGTCTCTCCTTGCCAAGACGCGGGACAAATACTCCGGACAATGAGGCTGAGACCACAAAGGGGTCTTAGTTTTGGAGTAGTCGACGTCAAGTGGTCAAGAATAGAAAATCGCACCCACTCCAGGTGGACTAACACTCCCTATTCTGCGATCCTTGAGACCGGCCAGGGTCCAAGGGACCACTAGCTTACGCAATGGGCAGATCCTTTTGCCATATTGCTTGTTTACGCTCCGCTCTACTATTACTTACTTTGGTAAGTCTCGTTGCCAATGAACCTTTTCAGCCATTCACCCTCTCCTCTTTGCGATCAACATGCCACCCATGGCTAGGCGCTTGTAAGATGGAGCAGTAAACGCTCGGATGCAACATACCTCCACCGCAGCGCCAATGCTTATTTGCTCGCGACAACTGGGATAGAAAGACCGGACCAGGGGCGATCCTTGACAACAGGGTATATACGGTGCCCATGCCTTGTCTAGTTTGTACCAGCGTGCTGCACTTGCAAAGAACCGTCGCCTTGGTCGGTCCTTTGGTGTTCATCCCCAGAACCATCCCCTCTTTTTAATCTCGTCGGCGTTAGCTCGCTGGGCCGATTACTGGTAAACCTGGCATTGAGCATGCTCACGCATCTCCGATGTTACCTCTCATCTGATTAATATAACCCATTGCTGTGATCTGCACAGCTGTCCTCTCCTTTCTGCTGTCTGCTTCTCGTTGATTTAGCGATTCTTTATCAAGTATTGTCTATAGGTTGCCGTAACCATGGCGCGACGGAGCTACCTCCTACCCACCATTATTCTCCTATGCATCACATACGCTCTTTTCTCGAGTCTACCGCCCAGTGCGGGGCCACATTACCACCACCATTTCAGAAATCCATACGACCCTCCCCCGCATAAAGAGGGTAGGATACGTTGGCGGAAGCATGCCGAGCAGTACCCGATCTCCGATTATGTCCCTCTTCCTTCGACTGCGCCATCCACTATTCCACAAATCCAGCACAAGTTCTCTAAGGAGTCGTGGTTCGCACGATGGGGACGGGTAAAAAGGCAGCGTGCGGTCAAGAAAGCATTCCAGCACGCGTGGAAAGGGTACAGGAACAATGCCTGGCTGGAAGACGAGCTCTCTCCCCTCACTGGTGGCCACCGCGAGACTTTTGCGGGTTGGGCAGCTACCTTGGTGGATTCCCTAGATACTCTCGTTATTATGGGACTTACTGAGGAGTTCGAGGAGGCCGTGAAAGCGCTTGAGTACATCGACTTCACTACCACCAGCGCCATTCAGATTAATGTCTTCGAGACCAACATTCGGTACTTGGGCGGGCTTCTTGGTGCCTACGACTTGACCCAGGGTAAATACTCGATTCTCCTAAAGAAGGCAGTGGAAATTGCGGACATGATTTATGGATCGTTTGACACTCGCAACCGAATGCCGCAATCAAGGTGGGAATGGACCAGGTAAGACACCCAGCAGATGCCTCGGTTGCCAAGCGATTCCTAGGTATCGCTAGGGTACCATTATGACTCAGGCTGGGCCATGTTGACTGGGGTCTAGATCTGCGGATGGTCTGAGCATCGAGCCGGGCCGAAACACCATACTTGCTGAACTCGGGTCATTGAACCTAGAATTTACGCGGCTCTCTCAGCTAACAAAGGACCCCAAATACTTTGATGCTATCCAAAGGATAACGGATTTTCTCGAGGATACTCAGGAGACAACCGATGTACCTGGGATGTGGCCCATGATGGTCAATGCTAAGGACTTGGAATTCGCTGACCCCCGATTTACCATCGGAGGAATGGCTGACTCGACATATGAGTACCTCCCGAAAGAGCATATGCTTCTAGGAGGGCAGACCAGTCAGTATCGTAGAATGTACAACTCCTTCATGAAGGCGTTGAAGAGCCGCCTGCTTTTCCGCCCGATGACCGAAGACGGCCGCGATATCCTTTTTGCTGGGAACCTCCGCGTTACTGGATCTTCCAGCCGGAATAACCTAGAGCCCCAGTGGGAGCATCTCAAGTGCTACCTCGGAGGTACTGTCGGCATAGGGTCCAAGGTGTTCGACCGACCCGAAGATTTGGCTGTCGCGCGGAAATTGGTCGATGGGTGCATTTGGGCCTATGATATCATGCCGACCGGAATCATGCCAGAGATCTTGCATCTTACTGTGTGTAAGGACGATGAAAATTGCCAGCTGCCTCAAAGCTCTCAGCCCACAGGCACCTCAAAGGATGGCAAGAAGTTGCCGCCAGGCGTGGCCGATATTCCTGACCCCAAGTATCTACTGCGGTATGTTCGTTCAACAATATGTGACACTTGTGTTCTCCATCTAATCCCATCTTAGACCCGAAGCTATCGAGTCGGTTTTCATCATGTACCGTATAACGGGGGACCGGTCTCTGCAGGATGCTGCGTGGAGGATGTTCCAAAATATTGACAAGATGACGCGGACCTCGTTTGGACACGCAGCCATTTCCGATGTACGGGACCCCGAGTCGCCGCAGATGGACTACATGGAGAGTTTCTGGCTGGCGGAGACTCTAAAGTATTTTTACCTCATATTTTCCGAGCCGGACCTCGTGAGCCTGGACGAATATGTGCTGTAAGTCTTACCCCACTCGATTTCCCGATGATTTATGCGGGCAGTTCACTAACATTGAGCAGGAACACGGAAGCACACCCTTTCAAGCGTCCAACTGCTTCAAGTACATAATGCGGTTGGGTTTTCTTTTTGTGACTTGTGATAAACATGTATGGCGAACGGGCGTCGCCATCAGTGATTAACCTTTGACACCAGATGGTCTTTATACATATGAAAAACCATCTGATCAGTAAATAGTCTGTGAAGGCGTCATTGGTATTTCCTATGGAGTTTTTCATTTATTTAGAGCGCTAATCATATAGAGGCGCTATACTATCCATATACAATATATACATTTGCAAACACGAGATCAGTCCATCACCGATAGTATAGTAGTAGCCCAGCACTACCTCCAATCAGCACCAGACATACACAAGTCACGATGCGAATCATACTCAATCGTATACTCCACATCCTTCCGAATCATCATCCTCGCACTCCCACCATCACTTCCAACACTGCGCTGCCCATCCATCTCAACAAGCTCAATATCAGGTTCAGCCACAGGACCTGGCTGATGCCCACCATCCAATCTCCTCGATACCCTCCACGATCTCCTCTCCTCGGGATTCAAACAAGTCTGTCTTCCAGACCCCGCTTTAGACGAATCGACCTTCCACGACCGCGATACTCCACTCGTACTCTCGAGATTCGAATCACCCGCCGTCCCGTAATTGGTGCTCACGGCCGCCATGAACGGCCGCAGACAGAAGATACTGCATGCCACGAGAGCGTAGTTGAGTTCAACCTGGGCCCAGATGATGGGTGTGACGACGGCTAGTGTGGGATCCGGGGAGTGGACGAGGAGTAGGATGGTGTAGATGTGGAAGACGGAGAAGATTATCAAGCTTGGTTTTAGAGTCATAGGTGTCAGTAGGGATCTGTGCTATTCGCTTTTTGTTTGGGGCTGGGTGGAAGGTAAGCAGGTGGGAAGGAAGGATAGTCACTCACGGAAGCCGAAACATAAACGCAAATCCGATAGTCAGCTTGCGCTTAAGAGGCATGAATAGTCCCCAGAGTAGGAAGACGGCTAGTCCGAAGATAATCAGTTCAGTCGCTATGTCTAATGCGACGATGAATTGCCAGCGTTTGGACTTGAGAGCAGATTGTTAGTCATATCCTTCAGTTGATTGTCTACTATGTATATGTTGTCTGCAGGAGATGCTAGGAGTGTACCAGATTCACACATTGTCCTCCGGAACCTTTCCAGGGACGATTCAATTCGCAGTTCACCGCGATGATGAAAACGGCCGGTATGACCCATGCTGTGCATAGAGCGAGAGTAGCTATAGAAGCTCGGTTATGCCATTTCTGGGGCGTGAGACGAAGGTAGATGCCGCAGACGCAGCATTTGGAGATGTAGACGGTGATGAGGTAGAGGATGTCGCTGACTGTGATAAGCTAATTATTGTTAGGAAGAGATTAGTATATCTTTCTTGTAAGAAGATGATGAGGAGGTAGGAGACGCACTGTTTGGATTTGATCCACCTGATCTTGTTCCAGAAGATGGATTGATGTCCCGAAACCATGTGACACGGCGTTGAATAGGAGTGCTGCTTGCACGGTTGCTACTATCTATATCTCAACATCCTCGTTAGCACAGGTACTCAAAATCCAGATCAATTGACTTACCGTCGCTCCAAGGAGAAGATAATCATCAAATGCAAACGGCGGATGGAGAGCAAGTCGCACATACAACTTGATAAAGAAGCTGACGAGAGATACGACCAAACCCAAAGCTCCAGTGATGATAATCCAAGCTCCATGATGCAAATCATCTACCACTTGAAAAGGGGGAGATTGTCCCGGCGGGACAAACGGGCCGCTCATGCTATGGCTGAGACAGGATGTGTTAATAGCCTCTCGGACCCTGGGAACAGATAAACGAAAGCAAAGACCATCATCTACGAAAAGCTTCGACCAGGATGGTGGAGATATGCTCTTATACAAGGTGGTATTGTTGCCTTTTTGCTTTTCCAGGATGCGCACTCATCGTGG